TGGAAGGAAGGAAGGAAGGAAGGAAAGAAAGAAAGAAAGAAAGAAAGAAATGTTTCCGGGTGCAGAAACGTGAGCTTTCTGGAATATAGTGGAAATTCGGAGTACACTCCACCCAGTCCAGCGCGCCGCCTGCTTCGCCCGGTGGGAAATGATGCGAAGCCACTCTGCTTCACTGACTTACCGCGAGCTTTTCTTATCCAATCATCTCCTTCGAAAATAACCTCCCAGCCAATGAGGTTTTAGTTCCCGTTTCGCGGGTTGACAACCGGACAAGACAACATGGACGTCGAGATGGCAGACAGGGAAAGTGACCAGAAGCCGAGTGGAAGCGGGGTAAAGACGGACACCGAGGCCGGGGAGTCCTCGTCGAAAAGCTCCGGGAGTTCCTACGAGCTGCCCTGGGTGGAGAAGTACCGGCCGCTGAAACTGAATGAGATAGTTGGGAACGAGGAGACAGTGAGCCGCCTGGAGGTTTTCGCCAGGGAAGGAAACGTCCCGAACATCATCATAGCAGGTCGGTGTGAATCCGGAGGAAACATAGCAGTCTGGATGTGTTAGTCAGGGAAATGTTAACGTACAAGACAGTAGGACAGGAAAAGAATAAAAGATGTTTGGAAGATGGAAGGAAAAAGTGTCAAACAACATGGTGGCAGAGTTTGGAAGCTGGGTCAGAACCAGAAAGGATTCTTTACAAAAAAAAAGTGACGTTTAACCCCCAACAAGGTCTGGAAGAGTTGCCTATTAGAACAGAGGGCTTTCCAGGGCTATTGAAGTTTCGGGAGAAATACGAGCATTTGTATTCCTAAACTTTATTCCCAGTTATTATTAATCCGTTAGACCTCAGCCTTTCATCCTGGGATTTCTCGGGATTCTGTCTTCTGGTTTATCGGTACCAGCTTCCTTTGGGTCCAATCTTAAAAACATGGCGGCTTCTTCCTCAGCTGTTCCTGTGAAGCTCCATCCAGGCTATGAGGGTTTGTTTTATTCAGGCTCCTTCAGATCACTGATCTAGAGGATAATAAGTTAACGCATTTTATCTCAAAGATTTTGCTTTTTATAGAATTAATCGATTATTGAAATAATGTTAAACTAATTTGGTCATTAATCATTAACTGGAGTATACAGACTCAAAAATGATACATTTTGCATGCAAGAAAAAAATAACACACAACTTTTGTCTGTAAATCTATAATACCCAGAAATCCTTAAGTTCAGCTTGACTTCATGTAAATTTTGTAAAAAAGAAAGACCATGCAGACATCTGTTCAGCCAACCATTTCAGAACAAAACATCACCAGTCATGCACAGTGGTGGGGGGATGTTACTTGGGGCTTTGTTGCTGGTTTATAGTTTTAGGAACTGATCCAGATGTTTTGGTGCGGTTCAGGACCTCCAGGGACAGGGAAGACCACCAGCATCCTGTGTTTGGCCCGCACTCTGCTGGGGGCCGCCATGAAGGACGCCGTGTTGGAGCTCAACGCTTCCAACGACAGGTGAGACCCAGCGGTCCATTGTCAGAGGGGCGGGGCTTTAGTGATGCTGTCCCAGGGGGCGGGGCTTTAATGACGAACCTTGATGGTGGCTCTGCAGGGGCATAGATGTGGTGAGAAACAAGATCAAGATGTTCGCTCAGCAGAAAGTCACGCTGCCCAAAGGTCGACACAAGATCATCATCCTGGATGAAGCGGACAGGTGAGCGGAGACTCATTCCCAGGGAGACTTCCTGCTTTACTTCCTGTCCTGATAAAACTGCTCTGCCGCCACCAGCATGACGGATGGCGCTCAGCAGGCGCTCAGGAGGATCATGGAGATCTACTCCAAAACTACGCGCTTCGCTCTCGCCTGCAACGCCTCTGACAAGATCATCGAGCCGATCCAGTCGCGCTGCGCCGTGCTACGCTACGCCAAGCTGACAGACGGCCAGGTGCTGGCCCGCCTGCAGGAAGTGGTGGAGCGAGAGGAGCTGGCCGTGTCTGACGACGGGCTGGAGGCCGTCATCTTCACAGCGCAGGGGGACATGCGGCAGGTGAGGGGCCGGGGTCAAGAGCCGGGTCATGACGGTTCTGGGTTCTTCAGTGTAGCTTAGCTTTGTTTCTTTGGGACCTTTTGCTTGTCCAATTCAGTTAGTTTTTACAGTGTGTATGCTAATAAATAGATTCATAAACACAAAAACAAAGGATGTTGCATATATAACCTACATATATTTGTGTCATAATTGCAGAAAATTCATAGTTTTCCCCAGTAATTATAGTTTTTATTTATTTCAGTTAACAAAAATGTTTTCTCAATTTCAGTTTTTGTTAGTTTCGGTTAAATATAATGACCTTGTTGAGGAGGCGGGGCTATGAGACTGGAGGCGGGGCTGGGCCGGGCCAGGCGTTGCTGATGGTTCTGGTTCGGTTCCAGGCACTGAACAACCTGCAGTCCACCCACTCTGGCTTCGGTTACATCAACAGCGAGAATGTGTTCAAAGTGTGCGACGAGCCGCATCCCTTGCTGGTGAAAAGCATGCTGGGGCACTGCGTGGCCGGGGACGTGGACGCGGCGTACCGGGTGGTGGAGCAGCTGTGGGCGCTGGGCTACTCCCCCGAGGACATCATGGGGAACATCTTCAGGGTCTGCAAAACCTTCCAGATGGCCGAGTACCTAAAGCTGGAGTTCATCAAGGTGAGGCGCAGGAGGAAACACTGAGCACAATCACCGGTCCGCTGGCGCTGCTTTAACTCCGCTTACTAGGAACTTCACAAGATTGTTTTTCCTCCAAAATGTACATTTAAAAGAAAAAAAGAAACATCAGAGAGATAAACTCTAACATTTGTATTCTTTAAAGAACTTAAATAACTTGATGAGTTTTATTTCTTTTCTAAAACTTGACATCAAGCTTCTGTAAAATACTGCCACCTGCAGGTGGGAGTTAGCATTGCTTAAACTCAATATTTTTTACCATTTCTGCAAAACAGAAAAAATGTTCAGTTATGCATTAGCACAAAAATTGCTGGAATCTGCTGATTTTGTGTGATTTTGAGAAAAACTGGAGCTTGTTTGAGGATTTATTGGAGCATTAGAGCACTTTTTAAAAAGCTTCCCAGACTGAATGAGGAAGTAAAAGCTGCGTTGACTCTGGATGTTTTTAACTCTGCTGCATAAACAAGTAAAACGATTCCCTCAGTGAGGCTGAAGGAAAAATGATCCAAACTCCAAAAACATGAAATAGGAGAAACAGGGAAAACGTTGCGGTCTTTCCATAAAACAGAACTCCTCCAGGCCACTAGGGGGAGTCTGTATTACCTACGTAAGCTTGAGTATATAGCACATCTTTTCTTTGTCCAACTTTATGTTAGACTTCTGTATAATTTGTTAGTCGACTCCTCCTGGTGGTCTGGAGGACTTGCATTTTGTGGAGCAAGTTTGCAACGTTTTCCATTTTGCTTCTATTTTCTGTAGTTGCAGCATTTGTTGTTTGCATCCATTCTTTGTTTACATGTTTGGGCCTCCATAGAACTGACACTACAGTTTGAACAAAAAATTCTCAAACAGTAAAAAATATAAACTAATTATTCACTCAATTAGTGAATAATTGAGTGGAAGGAATTTGCTTTATTTCAAGTCTGTCCGTTTCCACATTCTGCAGGTTTAACTTTTTTGTAAATCATTGTTTGTTTTTGTTTAAACTGAGAGAAAACGCTGTGAACCCGTCCGTTTGGACCTGATGTGATCAGGAACTGGTTCTCTCTCGTTTCCTCCAGGAGATCGGCTTCACTCACATGCGGGTGGCTGAAGGAGTGAACTCCCTGCTGCAGATGGCCGGCCTGCTGGGAAGACTCTGCAGCAAGACGGCGCCCCCTGCTGCCAGCTGAACACCATGAACCCAACAGACTTCATTCCTCACCAGAACCACAATTTGGCTGGAACAAACTGGACCTGAGAGGATGATGATAGTTTCTGACCCCTGGAGGTTCTGAAGGGTTAAAGTTTTCCCACCTTTAGATAATAAACTATATGATCTGCAGTCAGGTTTTATTCATAATTAATTTGCTGTTTTTGATGGAAGTGGAGGGAATAAAGTTGGAGGCGGTTCTGATCCAGCTCTGATTCAGAGCTCTGTCTGCATTGGGTGGGTCTGGGTTCTCTGGCTGGCTCTGTCTGACCCAGAACCTGAAATGATCCCGCTCCACATTCTGCTTCAGTCTGGAGTCGGATGGGACCGGATTGAGGCTGGATCAGGGCCCGTACGGAGCTAAACTGGAGCCAAAACGTTCCTTAAATGTCTCTGGGGTGGCGCAGGGGCAAAGTGTGATACATGTATGAAGGCATTGATCACACAGTTGTCAATTTGTGTGTGATCAGAAATGGCCAAAAAAACCTGAAGATGCAAAGAAATTTTTATCTGAAGAAAAAAATTCAAAACTTCTTTTCAGGTTAAAGTTGTATTTTCTAGTCATTTTTTTCCAGTTTCAATACTTTTCATTTTTTTAAATTATAGTTTTTTTCAATTTCATAAGGTTTTAACCGAGTAAAGTTTTGGCCCCAATTTGTCTCCATATTTTTGCTGAGTGAACTCGATCAGCAGCAGAATCATTCCATGTTTGAACCGGGTTTGGTTCTGGTTCTGTGGTTCTGAGCAGTGAGGAGCCGTTGATTTATTTCAGCTTTATTTCATTACAAACTACAGAAACAAACATCCAGCAGGTTTAGAACCAGAGCAACAGGAAATCCAAACCACCAGAACCGCAGCAGGACCCGGTTCTGCTCCGGGAACCACAGGGTTCTGAGCTCCTGAAGGACTTCCATTAATTGAACAGAACCGGGTTCTGGTTCTGCCCGGTTCTGGGGCTGTTGGTGTCTTCAGTAGAGCTGAACATCGGACCCACAGAAAGTTCTCATGCTACGACTCGGCATGCTGACAAACGGACTGCAGAGATTCTGAGGGAAGCGGGTCAAGCCGACCCGGCGGTACCAGAAACAAGTTCTGACGGAGCAGATGAAGATGAGTTCTGGTTTCATGCCAACTGCGACTCAGAAGCAGAACCAATCTGGTTCTGGAGTTGAATCGGACCTCCCCTCAAGCTTTAGTTCATGAATGAGTTTCAGGAAGTGAAACTCTTAAATATTTAACTTCCTGAAGGAGTCGAGTCCATCGGAACCGAACAGAACCAAATATCAACGACAAGTAAATATCAAAAAGATTGGATCAGAACCACAAGAAAGAGAGAAAAATGTCTGATCCAAGAGAACAAGAACCACAGAACAACGGCACCTAAACTCCACGAAGAGAGAAACGCGTTACCATGGTGCCCAGCGGGAACAACAGACCCGCACCGGTCCGATCTCCAGCCTGAACTGGACTCTTCAGGAAGAACTCTGACAACTGGAGGAGGAGCAGAACCAGAATCGCAAGGCCGGCCGCCAGCTGGCTGGTCTGGACCTTAGCTGCGCCCCCTGGTGGGCGTCAGTGGTGCTGCAGTGCCGGACTCACATCGAGGACGCACTGGAGGCGCGGCTTCTGGAGCGGACCAGACGGGTCATACCGGCCGCGGGCACTGGGGGGACAGGGTCAAAGGTCAGAGGGTCCAGCAGGAATATTACAAACAATAAAATCTAATCTTATCTAAACAAATTTGGAGACAGAACCTGCTGTTCAATTCTGGAACAATGTCGGGTCGTTACAAACACACAAACACACACACACACACACACACACACACACACTCTATTTGACTGCACCAGGTCAGTCAAAGAGGTTCCCAGATGTTTTGTGTGATCACCGCAGCGTCTAGTACAGGATTTAAACTTTCTGTCAGGAGGGCAAAATCATCAACACCATGTAAAAGAAATATTTCTAAACTAAAATCCCCCAAAATGTTTTCTTTACCTACTCAATAACAAACTGAGCAGGAACTATCTGAATTAAAGTCACCTGTTTTTTTTTTTTTGTTGATAATCTATTCAACAACATTTTTATATCTAATTAATAATCATCAATAATCCCAAGATCAGCCCTGCACTGCATTGATTCCAGCAGAAAGCTTTTCTCATGTTAGGATTTTTAGCTGCAGATTCATTTATAATGAACATGTGAGACAGATCAGGATAAAAGCTGAAGCCGACATGCAGACACTCACTGTATCCCATCCCCTGGACGAAGTACTTGATGGCCTCGGCTAGCCTCCCAGGCTGAACAGAAAAAACATTTTGTTTTCATTCAACACTAAAAACTGAAGCAGGAACTCCGGTGTTTATCTGAAACTCACCTGAACCACCTGAGGAAGTCCCCCACAGTCCGCCATCTAGTGGACAGATAAAGAATGACGACATCTGGTTACGTTTGGTTCTTTCACTGTGTGAAGGCTGAACTGTCAGCCACAATCACACTATGAGAAATCAGATAACAGCAGGTGGATGTGACATTTATATGTTTATAATAAATATAAATTATCTTAGTTTTAATCAGCTGGGTGGTAAAAGTGGCATTTTGTGACACTTTTGGCTTTCCATAGTGTGGAACATAATGTGTAAAACACAATTTGAAATTAATGCGATTAATAAAACTTGGTCTCAAACTTTTCTTGGGAAAAAAATAAAATCTGAAAAAGTAGCAAACTGAACAAATGCAGGTTCATCTTTTTCATACACTTTGTACATTTGTCTCAAAATGTATTTTTTGATGAAGTTTCTTAAAGTTGCATTTTTTTTTCCTAATTTAAATTTCTGAACATGTTCTTTGTTTGCAAAAATATTGGAACAAATTTCTCTCCATAAAAAACTTAGAAAAACTAATAAATTGACATATTTAGTAAAGAATGTAGAAACATGAACAAGTAATCAATTAATCACATTATATATTAAAATGAGCTTGATAAATTCCATTATGGTGATTAATAATTTTTAAGGAAAATTTTGTAGGCAGAGACATCACGATCTATTTTATTTATGGTTTCTATTTCTGTTTTATTTATTGTTTTGGGTTGTTTTATTTTGGATAATTAAGTAAACAGTTCCAGTATTGTTCTCTGAGAAGGCGAACTTCCATTGTTATGCCAAGTGTCAACATATTACTTGAAAATGTTCTAAAACCAGCATTATCATTTATTGCAATAATTAACAGACGTTGTCATGGTAACAAGGTCTGAACAGGTGGCTACCTTCAGCAGGGTGGTCATGGTGGGATCCAGTCTGGAGTTACAATCCACCTGCACAACAAACAAAGAAAACGTTCTTAAAATGACAATAATCCAGAAAAATATGAATAACTTTTAAAATAAGAAAAAGGAATAAAACTAAATATAAATACTGCAGACAGATGACCAATCAGAGAGCTGGACTGTAAGGAGGAAGAGGATGGAGACTCACCACGGCGTCCACAGCAGGAGACATGTCTCCGACCACCAGCAGAACAGGACACCTGAGGAACAAGCAGCCAATCAGAGCGGCCGACAGGAACCGGGCAACCAGGTGAGTTCAGGTTGGGGGCGGAGTTACCTGAGCGTGACGATGTCGCTTCCGGTGAGACCAGGGATGGGTCGGTCTATGTCCAGGTCAATACGGCTGATGTGTGCGCGCGCGTGCACACACACACACACACACACACACACACACACACACACACACACACACACACACAAGGCGTTAACTGCAGTATATATGTTTTTATATATTCCTTAAAACTGTCACCATGTTGTGACAGCTTTAATAAATATATGAGTACATCATCCTCATGTACTTGCTGCTAAATGTTGTGATGGCGGAGAAAGAATTTAATTTGCCAACATCATGGTGGCCATGCTAACTAACTTTAGCATCGATAAGACCCGCCTCCTGGACCTGATTGGTTGTTTCTAGTTAGCACTGGGAGACGGCAGAGGGGCTTAATTTTTCACAGATCACCTCAAACTGTCTCAAAATAGTGAGTTTCAACAAATCAGTAAAAAAAAATAAATCATAAAAATGACAGTGAAGCTTTAATAGGAGATTTTTTACATCATGTGAACCTGGTGAAGATAAAAAAATGTCTCTTGAGTTTTGATTTGAACATTTTCTCTTAAATGCTAAATGTTTATATTTTTGTTCAGTTTTGGCTTCATTGAAGCCCTGAGTGTTACCAGTTGATTACTGAATAAGTTGCTGATTACTTCACTGATTGATTAATCCGGATTAATCGTCTGAAGTGACAGGAAGTGAGTGGCGGAGCCTCACTTCTCATAGCTGCTGAAGAACAAGGCCAGGTTCTCCTGAGGAATGTCCTGAGAGATGTGGAGTCTCAACGTCTGAATGATCTCCTTGTTCTCCAGTAACTCCTCCTGCTCACACACACACAGAGATAAAGTGCTGTCTGTACATGCTGTGGGACCTGTAGGACATGAGGACAGTGCGGTGTCCCTCACAGAGGTGAAGTGGTGTCCCATGATGTTGTCCACCAGGCTGCTGGTCCAGCTGCTCAGCTGCAGGAAACAAAATGGAGGCTCAGTTTGTGTCTCTGCTTCGCTCGTTTGCCTGCGTCTAGGGAGACAGTTACCTTGGAGGCAGCCCAATCCACCCAGCCTTTGGCACACAAGTCGATGTTGATCAGAATCAAACCTTCCACCAAGCTGGGCTTGTCCATCTGAAACAACAACTGGTTTTACTGGGAGCCGTGGGAGGAGTCAGAATGGAACTGAAAATGACTGGTGGGTTTGATTACAGCCAGCTTAGTGAGGACGTAGGCTCCGGCTCCGACCCCGATACCGATCACACTCTTCACCCTGAAGACACAACCAGACTCAGAGTGACCTTAGAGTGACCTCTGAATGACCGCTGAGTGACCCCGCCCATCACTCCCTTCCTGTTCCAGAGGACAGAGGACTTACTGCAGCTTGGAGAGGACAGGTGGCAGCATCTCAGCCAGCTCCTCCATGGTGGGGTACTGGTACCTGGATACACACACACACACACACACACACACACACACACACACGCACACACACACACACACACACACACACACACACTGCTAATTACTGCTCTCCCATCCTGACTTCACATGAGCCGCTTGTTGTAGCTCGTTCTGACCAGACGAGGGCACCATTGCACTCAGTACACAATCACTGAGGCCACTTGGTTATGGTGTGTGTGTGTGTGTGTGTGTGTGTGTGTGTGTGTGGGCGCGCGTGTGTGTCTGTGTGTGTGTGTATATGTGTGCTACCCAGTGGGGAAGATTGGAGCATTGTCCTGCTGTCCAGGAGCGTCAACATGCAGCACAGAGAAATGCTGCGTCACTTCCTGCATGTCCTCGAAGTTGAACAGTGTGTTGAAGCACGACTTGTCTGCACACAGACAGACAGAGAGACACACAGAGACATGAGGACATCAGGACACGTCCAGATGTCCCCTGGTCTCCTTCTGCAGCTCCGTATCTACTCACGGTTCAGCCCGATGTCGTGGTAGGTGAGGATTGTGGGTTGGTTGCCCTTGACGACGCCCCTCATGGTGACGTGCAGCACTCCATGTGCCGTTTCCACGTCGTGTTCCTGGACGACACACACACTCAGACCTTTATGAAATGATAACTCTGTGCTGCCTGGTTTGAATCCTTCCACACTAATCAGTTGTGAAGCCGACTGGCTGAACTCACCTTGCAGTTGACATCCTGCAGGTTGCTCCTATTCTGCAACAACAACACAGAGAACAGGATGACAGACCATCGCTCTCTATCAGGACTACAGGAACGATTTCAGCTTCATAACTCCATGTCTGAGCAGTGCTAAGCCCCGCCCCTCACCTGTCCTGTGAGCAGAGGTTTGATCTCTGTCAGCTGCACGTCGTGAAGCTCTTCCATGATTTCAGTGTTTCACACCAGTCAGCTGATAGAAAAGACCTGAAACGAACAGACAGGAGAGGATCAACTAAAACATCCATTCATCACCCAGAAAACAACAACAACAAAAAAAAAACACAGCTGCACAATCACAGCTCATTTTGAAATGTCAAAGGTCACCCGCTGATCTGAAGTAAATTACACTGTGGTGCAGCTGTTGGCAGGAAGCGCTGCCAGTGATGGGATAATAACTGAATCGGTTTAATTGCAGCCGTTTGCAGCGTCTCGCAGCTCAAGTCCGGCGGGCAGCTTGGAGGGGTTCAAATGTTTCTGTGACTGAAAGACTCTAAACTGTCAGAGAACTAATCACAAACTGAGACTTTCATTGAAAATATACAGAAATATTGCTAAATTTGAGAGCAGTTTATTAAAATATCTCATCTCTAAACCTCTGATTAAAATGTTACAAAACTGAAAGACGATCATGGTGGATCCTTCCTGCCCACAGCTGAGACAAGAAGAACACAAACTGAACTCCACAAAACTTCTGATTTTATCATAAATTGTTGACTTTCCTCTGAGGAAAGTCTTTAATCTTAACGTCACAGAAGTCTGTTACCATGGCGATAAGGAAACAGCAGTGAACCAGTTCGGCTCCACTGGATCAGCACCGGTTTCACTTCAAATTCAAAACCATTTGTAAAAATCTAAAAATGTTTCAACAGGTTTTTTTTTACAAACAAATGAAAAACTCTTCAGTCCCACCATGTTTTCTTATTGTTCAATAAAATCTTTTACATCAGATTTACTCAGCCTATCTGTGTGTGTGTGTGTGTGTGTGTGTGTGTGTGTGTGTGTGTGTGTGTGTGTGTGTGTGTGTGTGTGTGTGTGTGTGTGCAGACAGGTTTCAGCAGATTGGGTTTTGGTTAGATAAACTGTGTCCTAAAGGCAACTTGGCTCTGATCTAAACTCAAACAGAAACAGAACATTAAATCAAGGCTCAGTCAGCAGGAAGTCAACAGGAAACTGAATAAAGTGTTTCCTGTTTTCCTCAATAAAGAAAATCCAATAAGCATAGATACGATAACAGTTCAGAAACAGATGATCAGCTATCATCCAGACCATAAACTGACATGACAGGAATCCAATGAGAGTTAAACACACATCAGCCTCCTTTGGTTATTATCCCAAAATACTTGAGTATAAAAAAAACAAATCAGGATATTAATTCAAATACATAAAGAGTGATCTTTAGTCCAGTAATTAATCAGGTTTCATTGGTTTTATTTTCCTTTTGTCTTGCTTAGCTATGATTTTGACAGACTAATTATTGCAGGAAATTATTTCTGAATCTACTGGATCTTCTTCCAGTTTCAAGACATTTATTATGTTTTCAAATTTTCAACCCAATTCAATTAATTTCCAAATTACTTTTTTGATCCCAAAGATTACTCATAATAATTTGGGTTCTTTACAGAGTTATTGTAGATGCTGACGGCTGTGGGCAGGAAGGACCTCGTGTAGCAGTCCGTGTTACAATAAATTTGAATAAGCCTCTGACTGAAGACAGTTGTTCTTCATTTAGCATGCATGGCTGGGTTAAAATGATGAAGAAGAAACAACACAACTCCATTGTGGTCTGAGTGTAAAGCTAACAGACAGCCTGACCAGCAGGAGGCAGCATTCAGCAGGTGAGAAATGCTTAACATCCTCCTCCACCAGGCTCCACCTCCAGTCCAGAGTGGCTCCAGAAATCCTGCCTCCATAGCAGAAGTGATTGAGGGTTTATTTCTTCCTGCTGGGATCTGACTGAGTCCAGTTTCCCTCAGAGGAACCAAACAGCAGAAAAACTCAGAACACTAGTCCTGAAAAGCTTTGTGTAGATGCAGAAAAGTCTGACCCAATCAGCTGTTCCCACACCGCTGAGCGGTTGCTATGAGCCGTTTTCTATCATATGCTAAATTTGGTTTCATCTGTGCATTACGACCAAACTTCTACACTTTACTCTCTTTTCTCCAGCAGTCGCTGTTCATTCAGTATGCAGGTGTAAATAGATCTACCATGTCAGACTCTGACTGATGGTAAGGGATTTAAAGTTGGATGGATTCTTACCCAGAATGCCCTGCGCTGTAGTCCACTACCTACTTCCAGTGTTCACATAATGCATTCGAACCAAACCAGTTCAAACCCAGACCAAGGTTCTGACCGAACCAGACCAGGGTTTGTATCTGGACCAGAGTTTGTTTTTTTTAGTCTGCATTAGAGTTTGATTAGCATTCACACCTCCTCAAACCAATCGACTTTCTAGGCAAATTGTCCGCCATCTTGCTGCTACGCACTTCCCCCATGTAACAAAACCAGTTCTGAAACTGAACCGGTTCTAAAACTGAACTAGTTCTAAAACCAAACTGGTTCTAAAACCAACTCAGTTCTAAAACGACAGTTTTTCAGAGAATGCTAAACAAAATGGAAAATGTATTCCATGTAATACATGTAATTTACTTAATTCTGTGTGTGATTCTGCTTCACACACAGAATGTCTTCAGTCAGAGGCCTCATCAGAACCCCTGAAACAGACTGCTACATACCATATCTACTTTTTTCTATTTGATTGGTAAATTACTCCAGGACTGATGAACTGTGGTGATGAAATTCCACAGAAATAGTTTGGAAACGGCCTTTTAAAGCTTTCCAGGTTGTTCCTCCTATTAGTTCATTGCTGATCGCTTTCCGCCCTGGTATGGTGGTTAACACACATAAAGCTTTCACTGACGTGTTCACGATGATTATTACTCACCTTCCCAACAGCCAGAGAAGTAGAAAGGAAGGATGTAGGCACTTTTCTCTGAGTTCTAATGAATAAAAATCAGCCTTTGTTTAAATTGAATCTGTTATTTGGGTTAGCAGCTGCAGATCTGATGAACTGGATGTTTTCTGGCTCAGCTGTCCGCCCACATTAGCGCAAAGAGCCACAATAGGATGGTAACGTAACCTCCACAGACAGGGAGCCTTAGCAACCAACCGTTACCATGGGAGACGACATCTCCAGCTCGCGCGTGCACACACACGCGAGCGAGCGCGCTCACGCTCGCTCGCGCGCGCGTGCACACACACACATACACACACACACACACACACAACTACACACACACACACCCCGATACACAAACACACACCTATAACTTGTAACATCGTCATCATGTAGGCGAGCTCCATCAGAACAGAACCGAACCGTTCTCCAAACGGAACCTTTGAGTTACCGCTTAACACAAGCAACGATCCCCAGTGGTCAGTTAGCAGTTTTAACTAGCTAACCAGTCGTTACCAGGTAACTAGTTCCTAATTAACTGACATTAAGTTATTTCCCCACTCACCGTTAGTCGGTTCACCCCAGAAGCGGGTCGATAGCCGGTTTAATCCGGTTCGGCAGCAGATAACCGTTGGTAACCAGCAGTTTGTTAAATCTGGTCGCGAGGAGGCTGCTGCTCTGACGGTCGTTCTGCTACACGCGGACAGTCCGGGGCGGAGCTACGTCAAAAATCTAAACACGGGGGCGGGGCCAAAAGGGGCGGTAGGGGCGGGGCCTTGATGTTTACTTTAGGGACAAATCAGTACAGAAAAGAAGTCTGATTTATGTCTGCCCAGTAAATATTCCCCAGAAATCCACATAAATAAAAGTTGATTCTGGTTATGTGTCATTAGAAAAAGTCAGCTGGTTATGTGTGATTCTAAATAATAATTTTGAGATTTTATAAAAAAATAAAAATAATAATGAATTTTATTTGTCAGCGCCTTTCAAAACACCATATGAATGTATCCATCGTTTTTTTACAAATTTTATTCTAATTCTAATTAACTTTACTGACTTACAAAATCATATTTCTGTTAAAAGTTGAATATGCATTTATTTACCTATATTTACTTTTAACATTTACTTGAATTTCTTCCTATGTTTACTTGTATTATTTTGATTTTATTTGGTCATTTCACATTATTGAATATGAAATATTATATACATTGGATTTAAAGGCTAAGTTCCATTGGTAGTTCCATGATACAAACAGCACAGCACACAAAAATCTTTTTTATTAACCTTTGGACATTCACAAACAGATCATATGCATTACCTCAGTTAATATAATTATTTTTTTCAATGTCCTTTATTTTCCTTTATAACAAAACAAACTAAATAAAATAAAGATAGAAATGGATGCATAAAACACAAAACAAAACAAAACAAAACAAAACAAAACAAAACAAAACAAAACAAAACAAAACAAAAACAGCTATAAAGGGAGTATATTGTTTTCTTTTTTCTTTTACAGAGAAAGCATCATTTTAAAATATCAAATTCCAGATTTGGTTTTTGTGATTTTACATAAGCCATTCATATTTTCCAGGGTAAACAGGTCCTTCTTGAGTCCGATAAACAAGAAGCAGTTGACTTTCAAAACTGTTTTGTATTGGATTGTGCATATCCTACCACAAAGTTTTATTCATCTGACATTAAACAGATGATAAGGATTCACTTTTATATTTCAATAATTATAAAAGTGAATAAAGCTCCAATAAGGCTGGAGCTTTATGCTTATAGATGGATTTGTTTTTGTTTAGCAGTAATAAAATATCTAAATACATTTCCCAGTCAACTTTCCTCCATCTCAATAACGTACATTTAAACTGATATGAAAAATAAGTGAAAATTAGTAAATATCAATTATTGTTTTGATATCTTAGCTAAAATGTTGAGAAACAATATAAATTTGAAACAGTTAGTAAAAATATGAAAATGTTCAGTCCTGAATTACCATAAATGTTGTCAGTAGAACAGTTTGAATGGACTTCCGTTTGTTTTACAGTTTATCTCTCAGCTCCTCCTGTAGATGGTTCTGTTTGGACGTGAGCAACACCTAAACATGTCTGCTCTCATCCAGGACAGCACATATTTAGATCGTCGCTCAGGCAGGAAACATCGGCGTGAAAACACACAGTGGGACCATCTGCTGTACGGACAGTAACACTGTTATTACTGCTCACATACCAACACAATCAGCAGGACGTTCAGACAGACGCCACAGCGTTATCAGTAAATACAGCTGAACATTATCCTTTAATTCTGCTTAATATTCTTCCAGACAGAACAACACTTTGTAAAAATTAAAAATGTGTTTTTTTCATTTAGTTTCTCTGCAAATTTGCTTTGAGATCAGTTGGACAATTTGAGGTATAGTTCATAAATGTTTCATCTTTTCTGATTTACTTCATCTTTTTCCAATATGTAAAGTGTTTGCTGATCTGAAACATGTAAATGGAGACTACCATCAGTTAGCAATCTACTTCTGCAGTAAAAATGGGGAAATGTTCTCACAATACGTTATATTTATAGCAGACGTAATTATTTGTTAAAATGAGGCATAAAGTAACTATTTCAGTTAGAAACTGTGGTTCAAATTTATTAAACTTTTTATTTTTAACAAGAGTAAAATTATTGACATAATTTTTTTACAATGAAAAATATTAAGTACAGCACAAGATATTTGTCTTTTATAAGTAAGCTTTTATAAGTAGAACCATGTATGTCCAGAGACTTTACTGAAAAACAAACTTTTCCCAAATTTATTCTGTAGAAACAGAATAAATTTGTTCAACTGAGCCTAAAATAATTTGAAAACTTGATCCTTTCCTTTACTACAGCAAACATACAAAATCTTATTAAAGTTTTTATCTAAAAATAATAACATCTCTTCTCCACAAGAAACATAAGAATCGGGCTGATTCATTTCAGGTTTTTTTCTTGGTCTGCCAGTACTGTTGACTCATGTGACAAAAAGTTTGGACTGTTGTATGACGGGGTAAAAACAACACAGAATACAATGAAGGTGTAGAAAAGCAAAACTTTACAGGAACTTTTTATAAAACTTAGGTGAATGTAGCTAAATGTGGTCACTGCCAAATAAAGATCTTTTACAAAATGATGTTTCTGAATTATGTTCATGGTTCAGGAAAAATCCAGACAGAAAACTTGCAGCAGGTCATGTTTCAACATTTTTATTCAATGGAAGAATCTCTGAAAAACAAAAACCTTCAGCCTGAAACTAAATGAACAGCGAAGCTTCGACGGGTTAATGAGGAACATCTAGAGCTGGACGTCTAAACTACCGACCGGAGAGGAAACAGATCAAAACCAGCGTGTGGAACAAAGTGTTGAATACATTTTACTGCTGCATTTTCAGGAAAAAATCTACTTTCCTCTCTGAAAAACAGTCCATCCGTCTCTCTATCAAATAAATCTACAGGTTTGTACAGTTTCTTATACAAGCGTAAAAACATTCAGATTAACATTTGTACATTTCCAAGCTGTGATGTGAAGAAGCACCAGCAGTTTTCTTCTCACTAAACTGAAATGAAGCAGCTCTTTTAGCTCAGTAAAAAGAAATGAAAATGCTGAAACTGTGAGAATGAAAACTGATTCTGCTTGTCTGTAGGGAAGCTCATGAAGCACCGATCTAAAAACAAAACTAAACAGAAACAGAATCTAAGATCTAGGAGCTTTTAGAAGCTGATTTTATTCTCTTCATTAAAACGGCTGATATTTAAGTGGATATGACAGAACTTAAGCTGTACAGATATATAAACAGGTTTTAGTTGGAACCAGACTGTGTGTAAAACACCAACATTCCTGCTGGATCTGCTGCAGAAGTGCATTAAAGGCCAAATCATTCAGCTTCTGTGAAGTCAAATATCTAGAGTGAAAACTCCAGGCCAGCAGATGAAGGATTAATCAGCCAAACATGGATCAAGTTTCACTCAGATTAATATGTTTCATTTGGCCGACATGTTTTTATTGTTTCTGCATTCACCTTTTAACTAGAAGCATAAATTTAATGCTTTTCCTAACTGACGGCCGTGTGATGGCCAGTAGACAGATCTGCTGCTGCAGACGTTCCCGTTGCCTCAGACGATGATCTCCTGGATCATCATCTTCATTATCTGATCCAGGAGATCAGACGGCTAACAGAACCGAGCCAGAACCAGAACCTCCACAGTACTTACAATAATAAAGCTGGAAAAAGGGCCAAACAGGGACAGGAAGTAAAACAGCAGCTTTTCAGAGGAAACTTCAGGAAGTCTGGAGAACTGTTGAACCAGACCAGACTAATGGATCACAGAGAAGACCTGAGACCTTCAGGGTTGGATCAATTCTGCTGTCATCACATATCAGACAGAACGATTCAGCTCAGATGAGCCTTCGTCTGTCCTCAAGTCGAACCGAGCCTGAATCTCAGAAATAAATCTGTCCTGAACCATCAGGAGTTTAATCAGGTTTATTCTGCAAAACGTCTGAATTAAACTGACCTCAAAGCTGTGCACTGAAGATGCCCCACTCATCCCGGACCAGTGGGACCAGTGGGACCCTTGGGACCAGTGGGACCAGTGGGACCAGTGGGACCCTTGGGACCAGTGGGACCAGTGGGACGGAGGCAGTGGCCCAGTAGCTGTGGCCCTGTGGCCCTGTTGCCCTGTAGCCCAGTAGCTGTGGCCCTGTGGCCCTGTGGCCCTGTGGCCCAGTAGCTGTGGCCCTGTGGCCCGGTGGCCCTGTGGCCCAGTGGCCCTGTGGCCCAGTAGCTGTGGCCCTGTGGCCCTGTAGCCCAGTAGCTGTGGCCCTGTGGCCCTGTGGCCCAGTAGCTGTGGCCCTGTGGCCCAGTAGCTGTGGGACCATCTGGTGAATCTAGCCTAGATCTGATTCAAAGTAGCCGCTAAAACATAAACATA